GAGCAGAAGAGCGAAGCAGAAAAGCATAGAAGCCGCCCAGAAGCAGTGAAGCAGAAAGAGCGGAAAAGAAGAGAAGCAGAAAAGAAAAAACAAAACCAGCAGAAAGGGCAAAGCAAACAAAAGCAGAAGGCAAAACGGGCCAACAAAATCCAAGCATAGAAAACCAGAAAAACTACACATTCCCAAAGCAAAACGAAACAAATTTAAGAAATATGGTTTTATGGTTTTCCGGCGGCATTTAACCCCCAGACCGAAATCGGAGCGCAATGCTCCAACTCCCCAAACTCCACTGGAAGAACTTCAAGACCGCGCGACGCCCCACGCTACATCCTCATCCTCAAATAGCATGCGGAAGCAACTGCTGCAAAATAACAGTGGATGGATGCATGAAGTGAATGAAGTAGCATGATGACCGGAATTAGAACCCCAACAAGACAATGATACGTACAAAGCCCCGCTCTTCGTGCTCTTTGTTTATGCGCCCCCTCAGGAGTTTCATGTATCCCACACTAGGGCCTTGCCTCCACTAGGAGAAGGAATGTCTGAGCCTTTTCACCACTCTGGCCCCAAAGCGTGGTGTCACGCAGCTCAGAGCAGCGATACCTCGGTTTCAAAGTTTCAGGTTCAGGGTGTGAGGCATTGGCTTTAGGCTTCCAGGGTGTAGGAGGTTTACAGAGCTTGCGCAGTGACTTCAGAATCTGCTTTCTCATCAATATTTGAACATGTTATCAGCGCCTGCGGGGCTGACGGCGTACACAGGTCGGTTATGCAAGGCCACACAAGGCTTTCGTAACCATCTTGAAGTCGCTTGTCTCCCTGTACCCCGAAACTGCCCGAAACCCTAAACCCATGCAATGCCTCTAAGGCTTTAGGCATGCTTTGAACATCTGCCGGTGATTTTGAACTCCCGGAAATGCCAATTCCACGGAAAGGATTGAAGATCTGTCTGGAAGAGAATGCGTTCTCGGGCAAGAGCTTCGGACTTTAGCGTAACGGTGTCGCTTGGTATGGGATTTGGGTTTCGGAGTTTCGGGTGTGGACTTCGGATTTTGAGTCTGGGCCTGCTTGGTTGCGTTGATTGTGTGGGCTGGGACCCGTGAGGAGTCTGGGTGTATCATGCACGCGACATGTAGGATCTTGGGTAAGACTGGGGCAATGGTTCCTATATCACTATTAGTTGTGTTAACAATAGTCATAATACTAGTAATGTCATAATAATAGTACTGATAATCATAATCATAATAATAATAATAACAATACTAATAATAAAAATCATAACAACGATAGCAATACTAACTTACGGACTGTCATGCCCACAAAAGGCAGAGGCACCACTCCAGTCCACAGATGCTTAGCGTCTTTCCCGAGGTCTCGGAGAGTTGATATGGAACCTGCCAGGACTCGAGGAATCCTAAAGAGCAGTGCTGCGGCTAGGGCGCGGGCTTCACAGAAAATTATGACGCAACCTTGCGCTATGGAGGGTTGGATGTTATCTCAAACATTCTCAAACTGTGTTTGACTCGTATGCTCGACCATCTCCCAACAACGCTGAGTGTGTCTTCGTCTGCTCTAGTAGGTTCTGTTATTCTCTGCCATGCTGCGTCACGAGCCTGTCAGCTCTATTGCAAACCGGTGTACTCCTTAAACTTCTTATGCTGGTTTGCTCGCTTGTATTACGTGCTGCTGCAGTCTGAAAAAGCTCTCATGCCGCCCGGGCCTCCAACTTCAAACCCATCAAAGCAATCCCCGCAGCATGGGTGGTTCTCTTCCATTCCTGCTCGGCGGAGATAATGAAGTTGCCCGTGGCCGACTCGCCCCCTTTGACGTGAACACCTGGGGATCGTTCTACATTAGGCTCAGCACTTGCTTATGCCTCACATAGGAATGCAGACTCAAGGGAGCCCTGATGTGGAACAGCCTCACCTGTGATGATGCCGGAATCCAGGCTTCCGAAGCCAAGGACATGGCTGACGTTGACACCGGCAACATCCACGGTGCCTGCAAAGCCCCACACTTTCTCCGTGTCCCTTGGCTGTGGCAGTTCTGCACTTTTTTTGGAAATCTCTTTGAAGAACACAATCTCCGCAGACTTGCAGACTTGCACAAAATACCGTGGTGAACAAAGGGAGAGGTTTCCTAACCCTCCAAGGCCTGAGCCAAGAAGACGAAGTGCCCTACGCGTCAAATGCACGGGGGACCCCTCCTTTCACCGCAAAAGCCCCACTCCTTCGGAAGCCCAATGCTGCTCAGAAAAAGGGCTCTCAAAAAAAAACAAAAGAGGGGCCCCCGGGCAAACTCTAAGAAATCCGAAGACCAGGGACATGGAGTAGTCACCGGCCGCCTCCACACGCTCAAACGTTTCTGTGACGCCCACATTGCCAGAGACTCCCACCAGGCTCCCCACCCCAGTAGCCTGAGTATTATCCGGGGTCAGGAGTCCGGTTTTCCTGTCGCCAACATAACTAGGAAATAGGGCTTGGAGGTGTGGCTTCATAATTGCCTCCCGAAGTCAGATACTGGCAACGAAATAGTTCCACATGAACCCTTAACTCCAGGCCCGGAAGCCAGGACTCCGGCGCCGGAGGCTGCCAGAGCAGTGCCGAGACCTTAACAATACAGCTACTGTTGGCTTGAGGACTCGGGGCTCAGTGAGGCTGTGCTCCGAACGGCTCTTCGATTCAATCACTGCAACTTGCAACCATTCATGCGCCTCCAGACACGACTGAGGTCCGTGCCTGCCCTGAGTTGAACACCGTCCTCGTGAGAGCTGCGGGTGACGGTCGTCTCTGCCAGCTGCCCGGAACCATAGCGATCTCGCTGGCCAAATGACACCATGCTGCCACCCGCAAATTCCATGCCTTTCCTCCCTTCTTCGTTGATGACCTTCGTGGGGCAAAGCGGCACTCCGGCGCCTGCCAGCACGCTTCCGGCAGCCTGCACGACTGCCCCTTTTCCTGTGGCCTGTGCTGCTTTCGCGAGACGCTCCTGGCACGAACCGCTGGAAGCGGCAAAGGCTCCCAAGGCAGAGCCAGCCACGCTGGCCACACGCCCGGGGCCGAGGACGCCCGAAACGACCTCTTGCGATGCCGACAGCGCCAAGGATGCCGTTGCGGAAGCAGCCGCCCGGTCCAGCTTCCCCTCGCCGCCCCCAAGCATCGCCACGCCACCGGCAGCAGTAGCTTCCCCAAGCACTGCTCCGGCAGCCTTGCTACCTGCGACCTTCCCGACCACCTCGCCAGCAATCAAGCCGACCACACCGACAGCACCCTGTTGAAGAACCTGCGCACCAGCGCCCTTCAGTGCTTGAGCGGCGTCTTCATCGCAGCAGAAGATCCGCTCTTCGTTGGCACGCCGCATCTCAAGCCCTCCCACCTCGATACCCCTGCCAGCTGCATCTTTGACCTCCTGTCGGACACCAATGCTCCAAGAAACATCTCCATCAAAGTGGGCCTTCCCAGAGGACCGATCCACAGTTCCTAAGCCTTCCTGGGTGGTGCTGAGGAGCAGTCCGTCGGCTCTCTCCACCACCTCCCCGGTTGTGCAGTCGAGCATCACCTGAGGAAAAATAGGCTAGGCAAAGGCGCTTCAAGGGTTACGGGGAGCTTTTGGACTAGCAAGAGCCTTGCCCACCTCTTTAGAACCGAGTAAGTTCTCTTGCGCATGCTTGAAGCTCAGCTCTTGCGACGCCACTTTCTGGCCCAAGACGCGGAGTTCCTCCTCGGCTCGGGGGACCCTGTGCATATCGGCAAGCAGCTCGTCGGTTTTCGAACGCTAACTGATAGCTATGCTAACTGAGCAAGTGCAAACAAACACACACCTTGGAAGCCTTAGATCACGCGAGGCTCCTCCACCGTCTGTGTTGTGCGACTGCCACAAAGAGCAGCCTTCTCATGTTCCTTGCTACTGACTGTCGCGTGGCCAGTGTCCAGGTTCAGCTTCTCCACTCCTGAGACTTCTGGCATCAGGGGCTTGGAAACAAAGTCACGCATGAACACGGTCAAGCAGAGTCAAGCATACAGTTCTCTGCAAGGCGCCCACGACATCCACACCACCAGCGAAGCCATGGACTGCCTCCATATGCTGCGAGTAGCTGCCATCGGGTCGCTGCACCAGGTGGGCGCGCTCCGTGACTCCAATGTTGCCCGAGATGCCCACCGCGCTGCCCAGTCCCGAAAGCAAAGCGCTCGGGTTGCCAGATGCCACAAGCGCTGTGCCCAAGCCTGAGCCAGCTGCCCCACCAACACCAACACCACTCAACGCTGTCTGATAAAGCAAACCCAAAAGTGGCGCATCAACCAATGACTAAGGTCCGTGCCTGCCCTGACCTGAACACCCTCCTCGTGAGAGCTGCGGGTGACGGTCGTGTCTGCCAGCTGCCCGGAACCATAGCGATCTCGCTGGCCAAATGACACCATGCTGCCACCCGCAAATTCCATGCCTTTCCTCCCTTCTTCGTTGATGACCTTCGTGGGGCAAAGCGGCACTCCGGCGCCTGCCAGCACGCTTCCGGCAGCCTGCACGACTGCCCCTTTTCCTGTGGCCTGTGCTGCTTTCGCGAGACGCTCCTGGCACGAACCGCTGGAAGCGGCAAAGGCTCCCAAGGCAGAGCCAGCCACGCTGGCCACACGCCCGGGGCCGAGGACGCCCGAAACGACCTCTTGCGATGCTGACAGCGCCAAGGATGCCGTTGCGGAAGCAGCCGCCCGGTCCAGCTTCCCCTCGCCGCCCCCAAGCATCGCCACACTACCGGCGGCGATTGCTGCAGAAGCGACGTGCAAGGGAGCCTGTGGTAGACCGTCACTGGCCCGCTCAATCTTTTCCTTCGCAATCAAGGCCCCGACTTGTGCTGCACCTTGCGCAGATGCTCGGCCCAGGCCAGACAAGATGGCTTCGTTCTCTTGCTGCTCAGAAATGTACAGCCGCTGCTCGTTTTCCTTTCTGGCTACAAGAGCTCCCACCTGCGAAGCAGAGGGGATTCCAGGCTCGAGGATACAAGGCTGCCAAAAGACTAAGAAAATGCCTCGCAATCCACCTATCGATCTAGCTCTCTACATCCGACTGTTCGTCTACCCGTACATCAAGGTGGTTCTTGTTTGCCTGGCTATCACTACCTTCTATATCTCACATGTTTTGCTCCTTTTCTCTCTCTCTCTCACTCTCTCTCTCTCTCTTCTTTCGCCAGGCTGGGATGAGAAAAATCCGTCCCCATCGCACGCTTTAGCGCCCCCGACTGTTGTGGGGCGATTGGTGCAATCGGCAAACTCCACCGAGGCAAAGACACCATTCGAGAGGGCTTCTCCTACAAAAAGGTAAAGGGTAACCAACCAGAAAAGTGTCTCTCTGTCTCCCTCTCTCTCTCTCTCTCTCTCTCTCTCTCTCTGTCTGCCAAGGTACGCCTTCCCATCCCGCTGGTGCACCTATTATCTTTCTCTTTCTGCCTTCTAAGTTTACCTTCGCTAATTTCCTTTGCCGTGCGCAGGATATCACCAGAAAAAGGACCCCGTCTCTCGACCTGTGCACATGCTACAGGGCTAGCAGGAATCGCAAGGCATGATGCGAACCTCCACACCCTGGCCGATAGCCACTTTTACCTCGTCCCGCAGCTCATAGCTCGTTTTCTCACACTCCACCATTCGAGTTTCCAGCGTCTTCTTGTCCAACTCCCCACGGCCTGACTGCCGGATCTGAAAGAGCTCGCCCTTGTTGGACGTCACCTTGGGCTTCAAGCAACTGGAAGCCAACAGCCCAAGTACTGGATCAGGGCAACACCCCTCCAAACGCGAAATGGAGGCTGCAAAGGAGCTGTTTCATAGAATTCGGAGTGGCCGATGGGTGCATCCACAGGGCTAGCATTCTTGTACTTGGTCGTCTTTGTGCCATCCTCTAGGACTCTAGGAGTTGGGAGCTCAGCGGCGAAGGACAAAAGGCTATGTCGGAAATCAGGGTGAAAACTTGAGGCTTCTTGGTGGCTTGGGGCCTGAACGCCGGCACAGGCATGGATCTCTGACCATCAACCTGCCTTCAGTTTGAGAACACCCAAGCTCGACCCTCAGAGAAGCTCCTCTACACTCTAACAAAAGGGCCTCAATAATTGGAATAGGGTGTTGGGGCCCATTATACTATGATTATGATCAGGAACCCCAGAAGAGTATTGGTGATTATCTAGGCCCCTATGACACATTGGATGTTGTTTTGGTCTTGGGCTTGGAGTTTCGGGGTGACACATCCTTACATGCGACAGGGAGAAACAAGACCTTCTGTTCCTGGCCCAGTCCTTGGTCTTCTTCTCTGCTGTGTAGTCGATCTCCTCCATCCCATCTGAACGACAGTTGGTCTTGACCTGGGGGTCGTTCGAGCTTGTTGTTTTGTTGATGGGCCCCTTCATGGGGTGGAAGGAACCTTGTAAATCCAATCTGTAACTTTTGGACACGACAACTCAAGCGTCGAAGAAGCCGTCGCACCTCTACGTGCTCTCCCTGCTGGTTCGTGGTAGTCAAAGTGCCACCTCCTTCGACGATGCCTCCCTTTTTGATCTGAGCAGCTTCTGTTTGCTCTTCTTGAAGAGGATTCTCGCGTGGCGAGCCTGTCTTCGGATTCTTCCACTCCGAGCGCTTCTTGTTGCCTGTAACGAGCCCGACTGGCGGCGCCTTCGTGCCTTTAGCGAACTTGCCCTTGTGAGGGCCCTCAAGCACGTGTTGGCGATTCGATTTCTCGTTGTACTTCGCGTATGTTTCACCATCGACTTTGCAGTTCTCCTTTTTGCAAGGCTGCGTCGGGCCCCAAGCATTGAAGATGCCCTCCCGGATCACCTCCACGTGCACACGCTTGTTGTTGCCAGGCAGCACCACTTCTGTGCAGAAAAAGTCCTTGCCCACACGGTCGCAGATCTTTGCCGGATCGGTTTCTCCGTACTTCTCGGCCAGGGCCCTGGAAAGGGGAAACACTTGAAAGAAGCAACGAGCAAAATTGCGCTTACAACTTACGACCGGGCAATCCGGCTTTCCCAATCTAGGCCTCTGAACTTCGGGTAGCTCCTCATGGCCCAGCCCATGCTTCTCGGAGAGTATGTGCTCCGCACGCGTCTCCTTCTGACCACTGGGCGTCGGTGCGATCGGCACAGCCGGCCGCTCCTGGTCCTTTCCAGCCTGCTCCTGAGGCTGTGTCTCATCGCCGGCAGAATCATCACCTGGAACGCGCTGAGGTGCTCGGGTGAACGGAGCTGGGAAGTTGTTCTGAAGTCCACTTTGAACCCTCTTCGATCAAACTGCACGCATTGTGGCAACGACTTTTGTCCTCGTCCTCGTGATTAGGTCCCTCATGAGTAACATGTTTATGGTTGTTGAGCATCGCCAAGGACATCCTGATTCAGCCTCGGCCTCGACTCTCAACTTTGATAAATTAAATACAAACAAACAAACAAAACTCAACGAACCTCAGAAGACCCCGAAGAATCGCAGAAGATTCCACAAGACCTGCATGTGACCCTTCCACAAGCGCCCAGCAGTCTGCATCAGTCTGGTGCCCTGTAGTGTTCAGTAGAGTAGATAGTGTTTTTTCAGACTTGAAGGTTGCATTCAGGCATCAGTTCTCAGCGGCCTGTACACACGGGGTCGGAAAAGTACCTCGAAATTTGCGGCTGTCACACCGTAATCCTTCAAACTTAGCATTCGCCAAAGCCTCTAAACCCCGCGACCTGGCCCCAAATCCACACCGGGGCTCAGGCCGAAAACTTAAAGCACTTCATTTTTGGACGGGTCGCCTGGCTTTTGGGCCGGCATCAGGGAGAGGCGCAGCCGGCTAACGCAAGGCCCTTGAGCCCAGCGTCTGGTGTGGCAGCTAAGGCTAGAAAGCCCTCGGAAAACTTACAACGCGACGCCCAAGCCGAAATGGATTTCGGCCCAGTTCAGGGAGTGCAAAGGATGCTTGGGTCCCTAAACCCTCAACCCTATAGAACGACAGAGACCCCGAACTCAACGGTTTAGGGTTTGCGGTTTGGGGTTTAGGGCTTAGGGCTTAGGGTTGAGTGAGTGAACAGCTCCTTCAAAAGTCTGCCTCCCGAACGTCTCCTAACCCGAGAACCAGTTTAGGCCTCAATGCCTGAAAGCCCTCAGCCCTACCCTTGCCGCCCGTGACGGTTCAGGCCCTCAAAACACCTCAAAAGCCTCCCTCGCCCCGCCGAGCAATCAGAAACCCACAATAGTCCAAGTCCGAGCGCTTGAAAACTCAGTTTCCGACCTCCAGAACCGGATTAACAGAGCCCTAAACCCTCGCGACCCTAAACCCTAAACCATCATGATAGCCTAGCAGCCTCAAAAGCCTAGCACCCCAGCAACTCCGAGGCACACCCTGGAACCCAAAACTTTAGACACCTGAAGACCAACAATCCTTCAATGCAGGGGCCACACACATGTCACATGAGAATAGCGGTTTGCCGTAGTTCATAGTAGGGAACCCCAACAAAAAGGCTCAAGGGATACGGTTTAGTCAATTGTTCTTGAAACTGTGATGACGGGCGTCCACAGCCTACCTCTACAGGCGCACACCACGGCTTAGGTTTTAGGGTTTAGTTTAGTGTTCTTTCCCACCCTACAATCCCTTGAGGCATTACCAAACTCCCGGAAACACAGCCTGGAACCTCCGCGGAAGGCTTTGAGAAGCCCAGCCTGGAACACCTGAGGCACATGGGTAGCTCTCTGCCTACATTTCAATTATGGGGTTGAGGGCTTTGGCGGTTTAGGGCTTGGGCTTGCGGGTTTCAGGGCTTAGGATTTGGGATTGGGGTTCCGGGTTTGGGGGTGGAGGTTGGAGGTTAGGGTTGGAGGTTAACAGCTTAGGGCGTTAGGGTTTAAAGTTAGGGTTTGGGGTGAAGGTTTAGGGTTGTTCAGGCTTGGGGGAACCCCAAAAACAGATGCAGCAAACCCTAAACCCTTAAACCTTGACTGTTTAGCTGGTGGCTCCAACTCTGCTCCTTGGATTTACATGGCTTTCCGTGCTTGGAATAGTCAGGGCTTGGGCAAGAGTCGGGACGTTAGGTGGGGCTAAAGAATTCTCGAGATCTTTAGACTCTCAATCACCCGAGGCCCCGGAACCTCAATGAAACCAACCCGAAACTCCAAACCCTCAAACCTGGACCCTGAACTCGAAAGCCAAAGCAGTTCACCAGTTCAGCCCGTTGGGGCCTTGGGCTTCGAAGGCTTTTTCTGCTTCTGCGTCGGGTTTCTTCGCACCGCAGGTCTTGAAGACGTGGATTTCCATGGATACATGGGTCTAAACAAGCAGAGTAGAGGAGCTTGTTGCCTAGATTGTGGTGCGAGAGGCCCTGGCCTGAACCCTTCAAAATCCCCAAAACCAATCCCCCAAACCGTAACTCGGGCTCAGCCTGCCGATAGAGCCCGAAGAAGGAAGAGTGGACATCCTCGTGGCCCGTGTCTCATGAGTCTTCTCTTTGAAAGTGCATTGGGCCCCTTCACTCACGTTCAGAGATAATCCACGGATGGATGTGCATCGAAACAGAACATCTGTCCTTGCCCTGACGGTGCTACTCCTCGTCCCTGCTTCGACTTCTCTAACGTTATTTTAGTTTCAGGGCCTGTTTCGTCGCCTGCACTCTGCCAGTAGAACTCCCACCCTCGTTCAGTTCCGAGAATGTTCGTTACCCTGCGGTGGCAGTAGTATTCGTCATCTCTGTAGCAGGAGCGGCGACTGCAGCAGCAAGGGAAAAGGAGCGGCAGCAGAAGAAGCAGTAGCAGTAGTATTAGTAGTGCTGGTAACGGTGTCAATTGGTGGTGGTGGTATTGGTGGTGGTGGTGGTGGTGGTGGTGGCAAGAACGACTACAGCAGCAAAAGAAGGGGCAGTGAGAGAGGTCAGAGCAGTGAAGCAACACAACGAAGCAGAAGAAAAAGCATGAGAAGAAGAAGAAGACGAATCGCAGAGCAGAGAAGCAGCAGAAGCAAACAGAAATCAATCAAAGCACAAGTCACAGAAAGGAAGGCAGAAGCAAAGACGACAGCCGTCGTGACACCGTGACTGCGGAATGACTTCTGACAACATCAATCCCAGATCCAGGCATGGCATACCCAAACCCCCTGGGAGCCCTTCCCAGAGACCAGGCCTTGGCGGCCAGTGTCATGGCCTCGATACGGCAGTGTCGATGTGCTTTGCTGTTCAACCCATCGCGAGGCGATGACTCGGTGTCTAAAGCTTGGCATCTACGAGGCTCAGGGAATGAGGCGTTGAGGGAGGAGGGGCCTGACGCTTTTGAGATCAGCTCTCGCTTGCGTGGAAATGGCAGGAAGGATATGAGGAACGAGGCAAGCCGAGTGCAAGCTAACAAGGCCTCGTCTGTACAATTGTCCTCACAGTTCTCGGAAAAGCAAGAATGCCCTTGAACTTAAAACACCCCCTAGGAGTTCGAAGCCCGACGCAGATGTTGTTAAAACCCAGGCACCCCAAACACCCCAGGGGCCATGCATTCCGCTGCGGTGTGAGTAGACCCACCACCAAGGGCCCACCCACCTCAACGCCGGGAGCTATTCTGTGGCGCACGAGGCACCTCTCCGGGCTTGAAGGGTTCACATAAACCCTATAAACCCTAATCAATTGCCTGGGCACATGCTCTTTGTGGAACTTCAGGGTCTGGGCCAGTTCGGGGCATTAGTGCTTTGAGCTCCCAGGCGTAAAGCTCTGCCATCCGGTACCGATTTCATGACTTTGGACGGTCGTCTAAATCAGACAACTCAGCGTTCCTTCCTACCCGGGACGGACTCAGAAGTTGCGACTTTGTTCAAGAAGATTTCGCACCTCAACCCTAAAGGCCCTGAACCCCTCAACCCTCCCTAAAACCCTCAAAATGCCAAGCCCCATCTCAATGCGCAAGGGTGCGCTCTTCAGGGCCCCAACCACTCCAGAGAGCAGCTCGGCATTCCTTCGGCTCTTTAGAATAGGGGGTGAAAGGCTTAGAGTTTCGGCGCTTCCTGGGTTTCGGTTGAAGGTACAGGGTTTGTGCAAGGTCTCCTCTGGGGTTGCAGGGTTTTTTTTTAGGGGTTGTAGGGTTTAGGGTTTAGGGCTCTTTGCCGGGGTGCTGGATCGCAGACCATGCGTCTGTTGTCAAGGGCTCTTGTTCCAGGGAGGCTGCCTATTGAGATTGGGTCGCAGCTGTGCTAAACGCTTACAGCTTCAGGCTGGCGTCATTGCTGATCAAGCCCTACCATGAGAAAGCATTCTGAAAACCCGCAACCCAAACCCCGTGAACCGGAAGCCGCCTGCATGCTTAACCACAAAATGCTGAACAGTAAACGCTTTAAACTCCGCGATACGCTAAAAGCAAAACGGCGGTCAACCCTGGTCGGCAACTTTGAGCCCGAAGCTTGAAAAGAGCAGGAAACCATCGTTGCCAGTCGGGACTGACCTGGTTCATGGAGCTCTTGCGGGCGGTTGGAATGTCGGGTGCAAAGAGGGGCTGAACCCAACCTTAAACCCTAAAGCCGGCTTTAGGGCCTAGACCCTAAGTCCCAAAGCTCGAACCCCAAACTCCTGAATCTGATTCACCAGACCCCAAATCCGCATCCCGTAACCCGAGACCTGGCTTGGGATTCGGATCTTTTGGGTTTGGGACGAAGCGCGACCGCAGGGGCTCAGAGACTTGGTGCGACTCTCCTTCAGTGTAGGACTTGGTGGGTCTAGTGATGGGTTCAAGATCTGGGGCGTAGGGGCTTTACTTACAGAGTTCAGAGGGTTGGCAGGGGCTGTTTGTTTTGAGCCCCCTATGTTCTGACTAAACCCGAAACGCTAACCCCTCGAAGTGGTGCTGGGAAGCAAAACCCTGGAGATCGGACCTGGGGGATGCTGGCCTCCATGATACTGCCAGTGTGAGCCTATCCTACTAGCCCAAAGCAGTCTACACCGTGAACCCTCAACCCTAAACTCCTAGGGGTGGAGTGCTTAGTGATTTGAATGAGAAGTCGGAGTATAGGGTTCCGAATCCACGGGATTTAGGCTTGTGCGGTTTTTGGGAATTCGGATTTTGGGTCTTAGGTCCCGAGTCTAGTTTAGCGTTCAGGGATTATCAGGATCTAGGGTTTGGGGTCAACATCTTTACATGAATCAAAGGGTGCGCGCATGCGAAGCCCACGGGAGTGCCAATGTCGTTGGTAAAAACTCAACAGCGACCCCTCCCTTACGACTGAGACAAACTCAGGTCTGCGTGCTTGAGACAATACTTCCATGATTGCAATCCCACCCTAGACCCTTACCCTCCAATCCCAACACAACCCATGATCAAAACTATGAACACCCAGTGAAGCCAGCAGAGAATAGTTGAGGCAAGGGCTGTCTTCGACCTCGCAAGGGCACCGGGGATCTGCTGGCAGCTTTTGGGGTTCCCGCGGCTAAAGCTCTGCTCCACGCGAGACCAAGTTTCCAGGGTCCTTTAAGGAAAACCCTATCTTTCTCAGCCGGGCGTCATGTCGCCACAGAGCGTCGGGCCGTTCGGCAGGCGAGGCTGGGCCTCCTCAGAGTTCGCACATTCTGGAGGCTTCAGATGCCTAGGGCCTAGGGCCTAGACAAGATGCCCTGATTCCTAAGCTTGATCCCGAGGGCCTGAACCCTGCAAAACCTCGAAAACCTTACAACCTGAACGAAGCCACACCAACTTTAAGCGCAAAAATAGATGCGATGATCTCTGCCAGTAGTGAAAACTTGCTGAAATTCGCTGGGGCGTTATAGTTCAGGGTCGGGGCTTTAGGGTTTTGGATTTCCGACCGAAGTTATGCGGCTCAATCCCTGGCCGCTGTCTGGAGGATTTCGGGCAAAAGGTTTGCAAATTTGGACACTAGGGCTCGGGTCGAATGTAATGTAGGGAGTTGAAGACAATAGCAGGACGGCACCCGTTGCTGGCGTACAAGGCTAGGGTGCGACGGTCCACAAAAAATCGAATGACGACCCAGGGAATTCGTTTCAGCATGCCCACCTCGACCAGCATTTTGGGTGTACGGCACGAAGTCAGGATCCGTGCAATGCCCCTCAGCACGCACTCCTCTGCTTTGCCGACAAAGTTGCCTACAGACTCTGGTCATTGGCACTGTGCTGTAGTATGGAAGCCTCGTATCTTCTGACACGAGATCTGCACCGTGTGCGCATGCAATTGCTGGGCCCAAATTGCTGCAGCAGGCCTGTGGATATCTACGCGCCTCGCTGTCAGTGCTCCTTACTAGGGTTTGTTACGGGAACATGTTTGTGCACAGATGTACACAGGGCCCTGGGATCCAGTAGGCGCATGTGCCGACGGTAGAGAGAGTATCTCTCTTCTTTTGCACGCGGCGCTCGTCGACGAAACCCCGCATCCCCGGTGTTTTCGGCTAGTCCTGCAAGCTTTGCGATCTTTGTGGGCAAGCATCGAAACTCGGACCCTACAACCCCCCATATCGCAAAACGTGGACTGCTGGGAAACGGAAGCTCGTCAGGGGCCAGGGTCGTTGTCCAGCAGCGTTCGGGCAAGGAAGTGCTCCCTCCTGGGTGTGGAATGAAACTCTACAAACACCCGACACTTAGTAACCCTTGTATGGGGCAGCGGGCGCATAGGGCGCCGTGTTACTCCTGGGTTTTCTCGCATATCCAATACATTTAGGACGATTCCATGGGGTTGGGGTCGGGCGTGGAAGCGGGTGGAGTGGATAAGGAGAGGGGTGCTAACGGCAACCATGCCCAGAACTCTGTATTTACAGAGTTTTCGCCATTTCATGTTGCTGAAGGATGTTGTACATTTTGCATCTCTGGCATAAGACGCACTGTCACAAGCGGTGTGGGCATGCCCAAAACATCAGTATTTACAGCGACATAGAGCACAACGATATGGCGATAGCAATGATGAAGATGATGATGATCGCTACGAGACGATAATGGCTGAGTGAAATCTTGTACAACTAACAATAGTTTCCGGCAAGCGCTACAGCCCTGTTTTTCTTGACAATCACTATAAAACCTCGGTTTCCTCAGCTTTAAGAACGCGGCGCCCTATGCGACCCGTATAAAGAATTCTTATAGTACCTTGTAAGTCAGGTTGGAGCTAAGAGGCACCCGTAAACCTACGAATATAGCGCGACTCAGCCTTGGGTATATGGGTTTGGTATGGATGTCGGGGGTTGGACTTCACGCCAAGCATGTTCCTCTGAATACTTCAGCCCCGTAATGCGACATCACCAAGATGCGACATCACCAAGCCTGGATCAAAGCCCCTCGGAGTCAGCTGCCTTGCATCCGCGACTCGAACCCAACACCCGGAATCCTCCGAACGTCGAGCCCCACAACCGACAAGCCTCAAGCGACAAAGGCCCAACCCCTCGACTCCCCCCTCTCCAAAAAAAACGCCCAGAAGAAGCCCAAAAGAACGAGAGCCCCTGGGGCCCTGGGCTCCCGGCGCAGTATGGAGGTGGTGGATGACAGGAACGTTCCTCCGCGGAAGCTTTGGAGAGCTAAGGGCTTTGTGGGGCCGCCAAGGCTTGACGATGTATCGCACTGGAGAAGCTGACGAATCTGTGAGCTTCTCTTTTCGCCATGCGGAGTCTGGATGAGGAGAGTCACCAGAGAATTGTAAACGCGAGTTGATGCCACGAAACACGCTGTTGCGAAGAAGAAAAGCTGTCGTAGCCCGGCAAGGCCCATATGTACTACGGCTCTCCCATGCTCTCCCCCCAGGCCGGGCACAGAGGCCGGGGGCCTCCCATCCCAGAACTTCAGGCAGTTCTTCTGCACGGCTTCGATCGGAGACCGGCGGCCTTAGTGCCATAAAGACTTCCACCCTCGACCCCAAGCCCGAAAGCCCTGAGCCCAGAGAGAGATCTTAACTCCACCGATTCGAGAACTGCAACTAGGAGGCAGTAGGCGCCAGCCGCTTCGCTGTCCTTCCGTGCCGCTCGAAGGTTTAGGCTTGAGGGTTTTGGCTTGTTTCTGGAAGGGTGGAGATGTACCAAGTGTTCTCATGGCTTTCTTTGGAGTTCAAGGTGCTTCCTTGCAGGTACAGGGTGTTGACTTTCAGGGCCGAGGCCTTGTAGGATCTTGGGCCTTGGCTTTGGCATGGCTGAGGGCTTCGAGATCAGTCGCAATTCCATGCGGCCATCGGTTTCCGCAGTACCATCTGGGGAGAGTCTCCATTGCCCTGGTTTTGAAGGTAGTCGCGCCGACAGCCTGGACTTAAAGGACATGCGATCCCAAAACCAGACCCCTTTGGGCGGTGGGCCTGCAGCCTGCCGATAGCAGCCAGCTCCTGAGGGAGGGAGCCGCGAGGTCCGCGAGGCTGCGGGGCTTCTGGGGCCGACTCTTCAAAGAATCAGGGGGCCCGGGGGAGAGATCAGTAGCTACAGTGCTACACTCTGCCGTGGTCTGTCAAGAAGCCTGCCCTTTTCAAGCCCGAACGCCGAAAGGCCCAAGTCTCAAAGCCCTACCTGTAATCCAGGAGAAGCCGCAGAAAAGCCACGAAAGATCGAAGCCGCAAGCCGAAATTGGCGAGTCCTGAAGTGCGGTTAGCTCTCCTTCCTCGTGCTGCCCGTTGATCCTCGGGTTGCAAGGCTCGGGGGGCTTCGTAAGACAAAGCTCGAAGCCTCAAATAAGAAATCCCCAAACCTAAACCCTCAATCCTGTTACTTAAGCCCAAACTCCCTAAACTCCGAAACCCTCATCACTTTCGCCGAGGGGCGGGTTCTGCTGCATCTCCCAACAGCCCAGCGGAAAGGCCTGGTAGACCAAACCCCCAAACCTATGCAAACACGGACCCTAACAGTTCTTGAGCGGAAGGGTCCGGTTGTGGTCAAGATGCTACGAGGGAGTTTCAGAAAATAGAAGGCCAAAAAATATGGAACCCCTACATAACAGGATCCTTACCACGAGGAACCCTCAACGATGCTCCAGTTTTCTGAAGCTGCTACCTCTACATCCTTAATTATGCAGATTTTGGCATCCTGCAATCAGAAAGACGAGACATGCAACCCCCAAACACCGAACACTCTATCTAAAGCCCTTCCATCCAAAACTTCGACACTCGCCACGACAACAATTCCGAGGAATCCGAAACCCCAGAACGCTAGCAACCCCAAAACACTATAACACTACGTCTCAGAATAAAGGAAGCCAAAACCCTGACCGTGCCTGCCCATGTCGATTCTTCGCAAGCTGGCCGCAGCCAGAAGCCCCGGGAAAGGCCACCTTCGTTGGGTCTTCGAGCTTTCAGTGAGGGCAGGTTAGCTTTGGTCGGGGCCGAGGGGCGGATCTGTCTATAGAATATTTGGAGTTTACGGTTTCAAGGTTCAGGGTGGCTAGATGAGTTCGAAGCTTCTGGAGAGGCGATACTCACTCCGAGCCAGCCAAGCGTTTGCATGCCCAATGAAGTCGAAAGGCGTCGGAGAATATGGGTTGCCTCAGGTTTCGGCCGCTTAAGCCCGAAGTCCTGACCCCCCCCCCCCCCCCCCNNGACCCCCCCCCCCCCCACACCCCAGAACTCGAATCCCAAATCCTGCGGGGCAGAGCCCAGGCTCCCAAACATGAAGATGAGGCTCCACGGCTTCACATATAAGCATGGGGCTTTGGATGAATGTAGTAGCATATACCGTCTACCCTGCGGCCCCTATGTCCTATGTAAGCCCCCCAAGAGCCAGATGCGCGAATCCTCAAAGCAAGGGAACCCTACAAACGCCCTCCACCCGCCTTCTGCTGCAGGGGAGGCCTCGGGATGGCGCTGCACTTGGGGCGGCCGCAGAAACCCCTGCTGATCCCGAGCCAAGAAACCTGGGCATGAGCCTCACATCAGAAGGCCTGCTGACTTAACTGCTGCCTTCGCGGACGTGAGCTCCGCCGTCGGGATTGGGTTCCGAAGTACAGGGGCTCATCACGTGAAGGGGGAACCGAGATCCGCACAAGACATGCTCAGCCAGGGCCGGATAGATCATGTCCTCTCCCGTTGGGAGCTTGCAGGAAGGGCTTCGGAAAGATGCGCAAGAAACACAGCTGCCTCCATACGCCGACAACCCTGAGGGAAGTCCTGGGAGCAGTGCTCGGGCCACTCCATGAGGCCCTTCATGAACCTCAAGCTGCACTCAGGAGCGGCTTTGGGCTTACAAAGAACAGCTCAGCAAGAATTTTCCTGGTCTTCCAAGGGTGCCTAAATTTTGGCTTCTCTTGGCGTCCCGACAGACACCCCACCGCACTCCGAAGCCTTTTGATCGGAGTGAAATCAAACCCCGCAAGCCGTCTGAAAACGCCGCACACGCACCTTTCAAACCAAACCACTCGACAAAACACTCGACAGGAAACCCCAAACCCCAAAACCCTTAAGATCCCTCAAGCTTAAGCTCTAAATCCTCAAGCTCTCAAGCTTCGCATGCTAAACCCCTAGCCCCGAAACCCCTGCTGGCATCTTTTGAATTCGAGTGGCATGGGGCACCCGACGGCACGCCCCCCCTCCTCGACCGCGTCCGCGACGCGGCCGAGGTTGGCCCAGTTAGCCTTCAGCACCTGCAGGGAGAGTTCATGCTTCTTGTTGGTAGTTCAGGGGTTGCTGGATGCGAGGCCTGAGGGTCTTGGACTCTTGCCATTGAGGCATGAAGGATTGAGCCCCAGTGCAGAAACAAAAACGAAGCTTTTCCGACATACCTTCGCAGGTGGACTCAGACACACAATCATAAGCCCTGGCCTGGACGTATTTCCTGTTGAAGACGAAAGCATTGCCCCACCTTGGCTTTGAAGAAAAGCAGTTTTGGGCACTGCGACCTCTACACTTGCATGTCTCTCCTGAGCCCATAGCAGATCCCCGAATCCTCAACTCAGAACTACCCCTGAAATCCTTTCCAGCATGCCTTTCCAAAAAAGGAACAGGCCGGGAGACATGAGCATAATAGGCCCCTCCACACCCGAGCTGTCCTCCGAGCCTTCCTGGCTTGATCCCCAAAGCATCTTGTGAGCTTAGAGATCTTTTCGGCCTAGGAGGTGCAGGGTTTCGGTTTTCGGCTCTAGGCTTCGGGGCTTGGGAACCCTGGAGTGTATAGGGGTTACGGTTAGCAAGTCTGCAAGAATCTCCCTCTGCCCCATGGTCCGAGCTCGCGCCATGCATGCCGAGCCGGAGAATGCAGTAGCAAACGGAGCGGCAGCTCGGAGCACAGCGTACTCTCAGCGCTACAGTATGGGACTACACTTGTAGATAGTATGCAGCCGCTTTCTGACTTGCCTCCATCACCCTCAAATACTCGAGGATGTTCTCCTGCCAAGATGCAGATCGGGCAGACATATGATACAGGCTCAAAAAGTCACCACAAGCAAGCTTAAGCAGGGACTCGATCTCCTTTGTCTTGCTTCTCAATGTCGCTTCACAGCCGCCCAAGGGGACTTGGTGCTTCCACTTATCTACGACCACACCGCTAGGGAGAGGTTTAGGCTTGGGATTCTTTCATGCACTTCTTGATGAGCATTTAGGGTTTTGGGGCCAAGCAGACAGCACTATCCGCGTTTTGTCCCCATGTAACAAGACCCCATTCGAATCTTCAGCCCTCCATATTAAACCCTTTTAAACCCTAAAACCCTACAAAACCCGACAACAGCCCCTGCAAATCCTACTTGCGGGCCCTGCCCCGCAGGAATTATTAGGGCCCCCCCGGTCTTCTCCCAAACCGGCCCTTCAAAGCGCCGGGGAATCCTTGCCTTGGCTCGGGACGGGGAAAGGAAGTGGTCCAACTCGGAGTTGATCAGCCAGTCCTTTCCGTGAGGAGTCCAGCGAGGTGAAAGAACAGCGTGAAAGGATCCATAAGGGCTCCACATAATCCACAAGGGTTTTTAAGAGGGCTCCAAAGCGGTTCTAGAAGGGATCTATACAGGCTCTCTAAGGGACCTTTAAGCGTTCTAAATGGGTTCCATCAAGGTTCCACATAAGGGATTTACAAGGTTTCTATGAGAGCCATAGAAGAGTTGAACGGCGGTTCTCTGCGAGGGCTTCTCGACGATTCCTTCACACTATTATACCCAAGGGCCGAGCGGCTTCACGTGTGAGGCATGAGCCTGTAAACGGCGGATTCTCTTCTTTGAAACATGTGAGGAAGTATCGCTTTGGAGCTGTTGGGGTGGTGCACCTTTGCATAAAAAATCGTCGGTTTGGCACAGCAACTGCAACAAAGGCTTACACTGAAGGCTTGCGAACGTTTAAACTCGTCCTCCAGGATCAGACACAGATGCCCTGCAGCATCGTAGTCTGGCAGGTTCTCTAGTCAGGTAGCATGCTGGATTAGACTGTTGCCTGGACCGCCTCAACTGAAGCTGCCATCGAACGCTACATCCCAAACCTCAGGATCAACACAACTATATCTTCTATGAAGCAGGAGCGTGGACCCGAATCCCTGCACTCCTCAGCCTCCTCTCCAAAACCGAAGCCGGGCCGCATACTTCTCCGCCATCCCAGATGAAAGGAGGTGGCTCCAGGCAGGCATAAGACCCACCATATTTCGGTGGTAGAGCCTGGGTATGCGGGCTGAGGCCACTAGGGCACACCATGGGGCTGCTTGAACTCTTGACAAGTTCAAGTTCTGTTTGCAAGACTTCAAACCCTGAGGGGCCCTTGGAGTGATTTCTTGGCATTCTTCGCAGCAGGCTGAGGAGTTAATCAAAGGTCAATCTCGAAAGCTTCTCTGTGAAGGCTCCACTGGTACTGCAGTGAACAAGGAAAGCTTAGCATCTTCGCTGTATCTTGATGGATTCCCTAAAAGTAGAATTCGTACAGCCCATACTCTAGAACTGCACTTTACACCCTAACCTCTTACCCCAGTTGCGCTCAGCCGAGGATCCCCTCCAAGCGACAGAATCCGAAGCTCGATTCCTGCAATGAGCACGACGACGAAGATATCCAGAAACCAAGAACCCTAAGCAGTTGCGACTACAGCTCCCAGCTGGTATCCGTGAACGTTTGCAATACATGGTAGCCCAGGATTTCAACCCGTCTGCTGCTATCGTGCAACGACATAAAGAAGTAACTATGCACAAAGGCAGGTCATCACCGTGCTAAGGTGCGCACCACTTTTCGTGGCTTCGATTCCTCGGAAGCAGAAGGCTCTAATTGCTGCGCTGTCGGAGGTCGTGTTTCTGATGGAGACAGCCATTGTGGTAATAGTCGTCGTCCTCAACATACCCCAAATCACCCTCATCACCATCATCATCATCATCATCACACCTGCGTAACCAGCTGGAGCAGTCGTAGCCGTAGCTGCGACAGCAGCAGCTGCGTCATTGTCGTCATGGTATGATGACAACTGCGATTTCGAGTTCTATCTTATGGACCAAAGACTAATCCTGCGCATGTGAACGGGAAGCTGTATCGTTCTCTATGAAAAAGCATTCATACTGCAGAATCACAACACACAAGTAAGTAGGGCAGTCGTAAACGCATCATAGACGCACAAACACGCACGTATCTAACGAAAAAGCGGATGAGCTCGATTCTGCAAACGAAACCTCGCAACATGATGTGCACTTGGCACCAGAGGTCGCGGCCTCTGATAGATTCAATTCTTGATGAAGTGGGAGTCTCGCCTAACTGTAGCTTGAATTTGTCGCATGTCGGGTGTCAAGGGGGTGCTCAAGCGCGAAGCAACAAGAAATGGCACGTTAATAAGAGCCTAGGGTGAGACTATGTCTGACCGGCTCATGCAAGCAATGAACGATTCGAGGCGGCACAGGTACTTCCAAAACCAATATTTACTCTCGTTTGGGGGTCGCAAAAATTTTCCTTTATGTATACTCCTTGTACAACTATACTACAGGTATACCCCCAAAATCCAATTCCGATGGCTTCACTCAGGCTCCAAATACTACATCTTGTCCTATGGACAATTCGATGTGCAGGCCGATGTGCGAGCAAGGATCAACTCCTGTCTCGGAACGGGAACTCGGACGAAGTCATCCTCGCCCTGTCCAGCCGGACTCTCTGTGTCTGTGAAGAACACGTGACCTCAGCTTCTGAACTCTAAACCCGAAAACCCAAGTGCCACTTCCAGTTTTGCTCGGGTCTCCCTCGAGCCATGCCTGGCCAATAGTTCACTGTGAACGACGCCCTGGATTAAAGAAGAAAGCATGCAAATCATGTGACATGGGGTCTGAACCGGGCTTGCATCTGAAAACTGCGCTCCAAATCACGAGGTCTAGTCTGGATTGAGATGCTGTCCACCGACCAGGGAGTATCGCAGAGCATCGGGCTTTTTGATGAGCCGAAAATGTGGTGCCAAGCTCAGTGCCGGGCCGTCGCATTTGTTGTATTGCCTGCGAACCTATCAGGGTTCTTTTGCGATTAGAGCCGCGACCTACACTTGCAGGGTTTTGGGGCCTCTGTGTTTCTGCGTGTCGGGAGTGGGCGGAAAGCCAAAGGACTCACTCTAGCTGGCAGGATGCAAGCAGAGTAGCGAAGGGCCTGGAGATGGAAATGTTGGTTCGGAGCAAACTCACGAAGAAAAAGCCGCACAATCATGACGATGCGGAGACAGAGATGCCGACATAAAACCGATTATAATAGAAGCACAATGGAGTAACTGTGGTTCCTACATGTCATACATGAAAGGCTCGCCAAGATCTCGATCCATCTCTCTCCAGTGACCTCCTGCAATGTACCCTCGTCGTCTTTGCGCCGAGGCGACCATGCAAAACAAAAGAGAGTCCTCGGATGCATAGGATGGGCTTGAAGAGTTCTGGGCCGAAGGTTCAAGGGTTTCGAACTGCCCAAACCTCTAAACTTTGAACCCTAAAACCTGAAACACTCCAATCCTCAACCACCATCACACCCTCAAACGCACAGAACCAAACCTGAATCCCCCAAAACCAAAGCCCAAATCCTGCAAGCTGCTTTCTGAAGGATGATTTTGTGTATACTTTCTTGTAACAAGGAAGCTGTATGTACGTATATATTTGTATGTATGCATGTATGCATGTATAAATGTATGCATGTATGCATTTATGCATGTGTGGATGCATGGATGTATGTACGTACCGCTGTATCTATCTATCTATGTATGTATGTATGTATGCCTGTCTGTCTGTCTGTCTGTATGTATGTATGTATGTATGTATGCATGTATGTAGGCTTGCTTGTATGTATAACATCAGGTATAAATATAAAAAAGATTGGATGCGGTTCCAGAGTCTGGATCTCCTGATTTC